ATCTAAGGTTAGATAGACAATATGCTCAAAGAAGGCTCCAAAAACTATATAATTTTAAAAGTTGCTACAGAAAGGTTTTACTATTGTTGGGATAAAACAGAAAATGGAGATAAAGACATATATATATATATTTTGGGGTTTTTGTTTAAACTTTTTTTTAATGTGTGAAACAAGGTAACATGTTGTTTTGCTGCATTAATTTTTTTCAATTAATAAAGCAAACATTTTAGAAATTAGCTTGTATGGCCAAAACTGGTATTTTTACATTTGAGACTTTGCCGTGAACATGTAGATGAATATGCACACTGCAAAAACTTTCTAGAAATAAGTAAAATTTTCTCAAATTAAGTATATTTACCCTTGATTTGAGTATGTAAATAAGATAATTTGCCAATGGAATCAGTATTTTTACTCTTAAAATAAGATAATTAGATAATTTGCTTGAATTTGCTTGAAATAAGACAATGCAGTTGTGTTTTCTTATTTTAAACCTAAATCGTCTTGTTCCATTGGCAATATGTCTCTTTTATCTCTTCAATTCAAGAACAAATGCACTTATTTTAAGAAAAAAGGACTTATCTAGATTTGGATTTTTTCCAGTGCATTGAGCCATTTTAAATAAAGTTTTTTTTTCCGTTGATGAGACTTGATTGTTTTTTTTCACATGACCAAAGAAAATCAATTTTTTTTTTGTATTATTTGTTAGCATATTAGCCTTTTATAAACCTAGCTTCAACTGTTTAAAGTGAGCTGCGCACTGTGAGGCTGTTGCTTCATTAAAGAGAATGTGTGATATGTGCATGCCAGCTGACCTTGGGTTTCCTATTTTCATACACTCACCCCTATCTTCTTAAACAATTACACTACTTCATTAATTTTTTTCCTTTTTTTGTGGCTTATTCTGTTTGTTCTTAACTCAACCATCTCCTATCTGCTGCTGTATCTTTTTGCATAGTGTCTTTGTAATTTTACCTGTAGAAATACATTCACCCGGTGGAATAGGAAGGTCATTGAGCCGCTTGCCCTTCATGTCATTGGGGCCTGCGCAAAAGACATCTGATACGGTGGCGTTTGTGTTTTTCAGCCACATCATCAGCCATTTGTTCTCACAAGTGCACTGGAAGGAGTTGCCTCGAAGATCTCTGATGGGAAACGAGAAGGTTTGTGGTAGGTGTGGCCCTGACGCTCAAAGCATTATAGAAAGTAAACATGTTTGTGTGATAGGTGGAAAGAGTTTAATGTTTTAATCTATTTCTAATCTCTAAGTGCTACAAAAAATAAAAGACAAAGAAAAAAGAAATATATTTTAGAAGTAAGAGCTAAAAGAAATGTGGGATGACTCAACACTTTTGAAGTATGCTTCTGTAGTCTTGAGGGATTTAAACCCAAACAGTAAGGCCAGCTTCAGTTTGAAACGCATTATGGAAAAAGTAAATGGTTGCATTCTTTACCGCTGAGTCTTACACAAGCCCACAGAAACACACACCGATATACACACATCGTTGGCAGCACAACTGCTTACTCACAGCTCTAGCAATGAATCCAAGTCGAAGAAGAGATCTCTTGGCAGAAACCGTATCTTGTTATTTGCCAGGGATCTGCAGCAGACACACCAGGGGACAATACAGGCATTTTTTGTCCATTCTGCTTTTTTCTATTTCTATTTTTATGTTGAAGTAGCAAAAGTTTGCTTACTGTTATGAAATCTTAACACTAAAAATTTCTGCTCAGTTTTCTTTTTCTTCTTTAATAGAGATTAGAACTTACAGATGAGTGAGGGCTCGTAGGCCTCTGAAGGCATTTTTGGTGATGGTTTCAATCTTGTTTCTTTCAATGAATCTGTGTTTCAGTAAAAAACAAAAAAAAAAAAAAACCAAAGTGAAATATGACGATATGTAACTATATAATATCGTTTCATTATAAGAGCACATTGTATATACCTCTTTTGCTATGTTAGTCAAATAAAAACTACAGACTTCAATATGTTGTGCATGCTGTAGTTGAGAAGTTAAAGAAAAATATTGTGTTAAAGAAAAAAATTGTGTTAACTGAAATTGACACTTTTTCTTGTTATCCAGTCCCCTGAATAAATAGTTGATAAAACAACCTTCCATTCCAATTACAGATTCACGTCCTTTGAGCACAAAATCTTTAGTGTTTGATATCTAGAGATAAGACGTTGTGCCCAAAATACTTTTCAAACAGTTTGAAGTCAGAATAGATAAGGAGCACCTGTGAAAAGTTGCTTTTAGTCTAGCTGCTTATTCCATTTGCAGAAAATGCTTTAAATAGTGCTCCATGATAGATTCAAAGCTTGGGGTATTCTTTTGTAACTTAACCCCCCTTCTCCTTCTTCCTCTTATTCAAAGATATTCTTTTACAAATCTGTGGAGACTTAACAGGTTTAATTTTGTCAATATGCAGTCTTTTAAGGCTTTTTTATTTTTAAGATGTTTTGAATGTACCATTATTTTGCCAATTTGCCTTTTTAAAATAGTTTCTAACATAAAATTGCAACAAAACAAGTTGAAGTTTGTGGTTTTTATCTGTCAAATTGTAAGTAAGGAAATGTTTGCATGGCATTGCAAGTAGTCTGTGAAGGGTAAAAGTGGATAAACGAGATGAGCTCTACAAAAGACATATAAACATGCGGTGAAATATATTTCTCAAGTGGACTCACAAATACTCGAGATGAGACAGGCCAGAGAAGGCATCATCTTTGACTGTGGTCAAAGAATTAGCATTGAGAAGTCTGCAAAAGACATATGGATTAAAATTGCAATCTCATGTCAGTGGAGGTTTATACTTTTTTGTGTATCATCCATTTACAGGATGATACTCAGGAAAACTACACCGAAAGAAGTCCTTGCTGACAATGCTAGGTGATTCATGGCACTCACAGCAGCTGAAGAGAAGGCATAAGAGAAAACATCCCCTCTGTGATTTCTGCAATGGATCCATTAACTACGCTTCTGTTGTGAAGAACAGAAAGGGGAAAAAAGGAGAGAATAATAGCCAAGCCAGAGCCAAGGCAGCTTTAGCTCAAACACTAATCATAATTCATCTCAGGATATTTAATTTTTCCCTTAAACACTATTCCTTGGTTGTTTACTTACAGTGAATTGATCTCAGCCGGGATGGTCCGAGGGATCTGGGTAGCTCCAACACAGATGAGAGTCTCCTTGGAGCAGGTGCATCCTGAAGGACATTTAACATTTCTTTTAGATTCAGCAGCTCCTGACAGACACAATAACATAAGAACCACCACCAGCCAGCGCACAAGGAGTGTCATGTTGCTCCTTCAAGCTGAGAATAAAATGCTAATGAAACAGTAGTCTGGCTTGGTAGCTGCGGGACATCAGCATGCAGCAGCAGCAGCACAGAGAAAAGACCTGACACAGACTGATACGGCTGCAGCTGAGAGGCTGCTGAGCTTGGGCAAAATAAAAATCAATGCATGCGTAATGACATGTGGTTTCGGGGAAATAAGTTGTTTATAAGAAGCTTGAAAGATAGTATGATATAAACTACAAGAAAATATTTCTGAAAAATCTCAATTTTTTTTGGTGATATGAATTTAAAACCAAGGGAACAAATGTGTGGAACAGTTGGGAGCACTGCTGCCTTGCAGAAAGAAGGTTTTCATAAATAGTTGTTTGTGCTGTTTGTCTTTGTGTTTCCCTGACTAGACTGGTGACCTATCAAGGGTATACCCCACCTATTGCCGTAGACAGCAGGAAATAGGCACCAGCACCCCTCGTGACCCGAGCTGAGATAAGCGTGACAGAGATGGATGGATGGATGGATGGATGGATGGATGGATGGATGGATGGATGGATGGATGGATGGATGGATGGATGGATGGATG